AAACACATAATAATTTCTTTGTTGAATAAATAAATGAATGAGTGAATGAGTCTCCCAACATTCTTCCAACCTTTGATCAGCCTGGTCCTGCTATTTATTATTTTCTGGACCTTGGATATCACTGTCCCTTCCTTAGCCTTGATTTCCTTTATGTGTCAAATGAAAATGGATTAAATCAAGGTCTTAATCTGGGGTCTTTGAACTTGTTTAAAATTTTTTTTATAACTGCATTTCAGTATAATTGATTTTCTTTGTAATCTTACATATTTAATTATCTGCATTTAAAAACACTCTGAGAAGGAGTCTATGACACACAAAAAGGTTAAGAACCCTGAATTAGATATCTATAGCTGTTTCCAGCTGTAAATTCTATGGTGCATTTAAATTCTTTTTAGTTTACTGATATCACAAACAGCAAAGCTATAGATTTCCATATGGTTTTTCAAGAAAAGAGATGAATAAGGCAAATGATTTTTAGAAAGTAAGGGTAGTGGGAAAGGGATAAAGAGCCTCTGGAGCATCTTGGAAAGAGGCTTAGGCATGTCCTTTGCTGCCAAAAAAAAAAAAGATGAAAAACACTCAATCTTAGGTCACAGGCGGTAAGGTCTTTCAAATACACTAAAAATTAAGGTTGGGATAAGGTAGTGGGTGGGTTGGAATCCGGATGCTTGGTTGTTCTGCATTATCCCCAGGGTAAATTGTTTCTTCCTCTGGATCTATTTTTGGGGTGTTAGTGTGTAGTAGGAGGCTGATGGTGGTGGCGAAGATGATGATAACAGTAATAACAAGGGAAACCTTTTATTATTAATAACAGTAACGAGACAATGACCAAGCTTTCAACCAAGGGAGAGATTTCCTGGAATTTTTTAAAAAAGGAGATAATCTCTCCTCCTTGGGACATCTGAGCACTGCTCTTTGAAAAATCAAAGTAACTAGGCAGTCTACAACCCCTGAACCTGCCAAGCCAGACAGCTCTATTTCGGGAAGGGACAGAAGGGAGAGGTTTAAAAAAAAAGAAAGAAAAAGAAAAGACAAGCAAACTCAAAATAAAAATGGATGCTGTGATCAGCCCTGAAAATAAAAGGCCAGAGCCTTATAGATCTGCTGACGCCAGTCACAAAAATCAGTAGCAGTAATAGTTCAAGTCTGGGGCAAGCCCCCACCCACCCCCATGGAAGAAAAAAAAAAAAAACACTTTTGCCTCTCCTCTAATCCAGGCCTGGATTTCCTTCTTGCCCTGGTGACTCCCGTGTGAGCCAGGAATTCCTCTCCCACGTGGGGTGGACTCCAAGGTACTCAATTAGGCAGCCAATGAAAAGTCAGTTCTCCAGTAGCAAATGACCCTGACACTTCTTGTAACATAAACAGTTGAAACGTTTCCAATTAGAACTGGAGACAGAGACGTTTGAACTTTTTTTTTTTTAATAATTGTCAAGCGCCTTAGATTGTGTGTGTGTTTTCTTTTTCCTTTCTCAAACACCAAGGTTAAAAATGTATTTTTTTTTTCCCAACTTGCCTTGTGGTATGGGGTAGAGGTGGGTTGGTGAAGTTTAAAAAGAGAACCTGATCTCTTTTCTCTGTACCCTTTAGCTTTTCCCCAATCCCCTTTAAGCATAGAAGATGGCTTGTCCGTAAAGACCGGAATCCCAGGAGGAATTGTTTAGGTCGACGGATTGAGGTAGTAATCTGAGGTCGGAGCTTTGGAAACCTCAGCATCTAACTCTTTTGACCCTTCTCAGGTGGTTTTATGCAACAGCAACAAAATGAAGCTGGTTTCAGAAAAACGAGGGATAGCCCTGCACGGGCCTCATCTAGAATCAGAGACTAGAGCGCAAAGCCGATTTTCCTGTAGGCCAGAATTCTCCACCTACCTGCGCAACCTAGACCAGCCCCAGCGCTGCTCAGTGGTATTCCTTCAACACCAGTCTTTCTCCCCACCCCCATCCAGACTAGGGCAAAAGCCAACCAGAGGGCACTGCATCTTGAAGGCATTATATTTAATAAACGTGAGAGTTGCATTACTTCTTCCCGCTTCCCTTACACTCCCCTCTGTATCCCCCACCTTTTTTCGTCCCAAATAGACAGCTAGTGTGGGTTCCTCCCTTTTTACAAGGTCTTAACAATCTTCATTTTGATAACCATCTTCAAAGGCTACCTTTTAATTTAACCCCTCTCCCAACACCGTCTTTCTTGCCCTATCTCCACTGTGAGCACACCAACCCATCCTACTCAAACCAACCCCTCCTTTTCCAGACTCAACGAAAACAAAAACGAGAGTCAGGTTCCTTTTTCATGGGTTAAAGAAACTACCTGCTTCATGTGTGTTGAGAGGAGGACGGCTGATTTTTTTTTTTTGTATGTGTGTATTTTTTTTACCTTTTATTATTTAAATTGATACGTTTCATTACTAGGGAGAAAAATAAAATATTCCTTTGATACACAAAATCAAATTGATATTTAGCCTCTGCTTACTTTTTTATGCATGGCTCCTTTATACCACATGGTAGTGACAGATTGTTTGAGCTGGAAGGAAAAGCCATTCAAAGCTAATTAAGCAGCCATTCCAAGCACTATTTGCAAGCGGGAGGCTCAGAAGCCCAGGCATTTGTCAGCGCTCCCCGCCCCGCGTGGTTTTGACTGACAAGTCCTGCTGGAGAAAGACAGTCCCCGCCGACTGCACCAATTGGCGACTGGCAACCACCTCAGCTCTATGTGATTGGTTATTGAAGCCTGGACGGGGGGGCGGAGTCGGCGAATCCCACGTGGGGCACCTGGCGAGGGAAGGGAGGGGTGAAAAGGGGAGGGTGAGCCCACCCGTGACGTAAGGGGGAGGGAAGAAAAGGGGGGGAGGAGAAGAAGATAGAGAGAGGAGCCATTTTGTGTCTAATAGATGCTGTAGCCAGATGTTTGCATCTGCCGAACTGGGTTCTCCCCTTCACTCTTTCAGCTCCATACACTATTTTTATATTTTATGTAAATAAATAGATTTTAAAATGTGGTGTTGGCAGGGCCTGTTGTAGTAGAGAGACCAGTGTTAACTCTTTAAGAAACTGAGGCACTCACGTGTAACTCCTTTTTCACCCTCCCTCCCTGGACTCCCTGTGTTGGAAAAGAGATCACATCCTCCTCATTAAGATGCAAGCGCCAATCTCCGCTCTTAATGAGAGGAAAATATAGATTCAGGCCGAGGAAATAAGCTCGCGACTGCGCTCGCGCGTGTCCTCTCCGGTTCTTCTTTCTCTCCAATTGTACCACCTCGCCAGCATGTTGGGGAAGATCCTTTTTGCTAGCTTGCCCGCCTGCCCGCCAGCCCTTTCCTCCTCTAGCCCGTAGCTGACATGGTTTATTGATGATTTACAGAAATGATAAAAGAAGAGGTGGGGGGATGGGGAGGAGAGGATTGGGGAAAAGATTGAGAGAATAGTTATTGGCTTTCACCTGGCCACAATTGGTTGCTCAACTCTGATGGTGCTATGTTTGAGAATCCAGGTTTTTGTTCCTTTTGTACAAGTAGGAAGAAGAAAGGTTTGTGTGTGGGGAGGGAAGAGTGTGTGTGGGGGAGTGTGTAAGACAGTGTCTTTTCTTTCTTTTTTTTCTTTTTAATTACACACACAGTAAAGGCCTTCTCTTTTTCCTTTCCAGATCCGGCCTGGAGTAACCCCGAGATATAGTGATAAAGGGCTATCCGTGATGGGTTTACGGTTTCCCGTTCCACCAACCTCCCCCCCCCCACCTGCCCCCACTAATGGCAGCAACACGCTAGCCCGGGAGATAGGGTTGGTCTTTCCCACTCAGAACCCTACTACTGTCAGGGTACACTCAGAAAACGCTGTAGGTTAGTTTAGTGCGAGCCTGTAGTAGGAGGTGCATTGTCAGACCCTCAGTCTTGTATTTGCCTTAGAACATTCTAATCCTATGGTATGGAGTAAATTTAGTCCTTCTCTCTAATAGGCTTAATAAAATGCTGTGAGAGTGGATAGCTTCTCTGACTGAGGGGAAAAAATCCTCTTCTACTATCTCATAAACGCTACTGTAAGCACTACTTTGTAGCGAGAATGCAGGGATATTCAAATGATGTTTGGTGAGTGTGTAACTTTAATGATGGTTACCCAAGTACTTGACCAGGACTGCACGGACTGGAAAGGAGACCAGAGTTCAGAGATATGTGAGTGAAACAGGTAGTCCGGGTGGAACCGGGTTGTTACCATTTTTTGTTAGCAGCCAACTGAGAGTTCTTCAGACCTTCTCACTACCCATCTCACATCAAAGCGGGTGTTTATTTTGTGAAAAGACTGGAGCATGAAAGAGAAAATGGGGCGGGGGTGGGGGTGGTGGTAGGTTGAGGAAAAGAAAGGGCCGCCTGGCTATTCCGAACACATCTTTAAATGGGGGTGGGGGGAGAAGCAACTTTGGGAACAACTATTTTATCCTCACTAAATCTTGTGAACTGAAAACATAAAAGTGACAAAGCGATTCTGTTTGTTTTATAGTATCTAATTGGACTGCTTTGCAGACCTAATGAGATTAGAGGGAGGAATCGTTCGCCGCTGCAGAATAAACTGATATATTATTACAAGCCACAGGTTTTTTTAGAATTGTAGAGAGGATGTCTTTTTTTCTTTTGTTATTTCTCTTCCTTCTCCCTCCCGCCAAATAATTATTTGCTAGTGGATCGTGGGAAAAAAAAAGAGGAGGGGAAAAAAAAACACCCTAGCCCGGGACCATAATATATATCTATTTATTATATGTCTTTCGGTTAATTCTTGATCTGAGGAGCGCTGTTTTTCACTCCCATGCGAAAGTCACCAGCGGGTAGGGGCTGATTGCTACTTTTCATGCATAGTTTTAGACACAAGAGGGCATTGTGACGTCGCCCCTGCAAGCACCCATTCGCAGGCCGAGTTCAGCCTCCCCACGTGGGGGTTCCGCGCTCCCATTGGCCAAGGCCGGGCAAAGCTGCCACATTATTTTGTTACTTTTCAGTCCCTATTTGGAACTGCTCTCGCGGCAGTTCAGACCTCGTGCTTGTCCCCCTAGCCTCTGTCTGTGTGTGGTATCCGCAAGGTCCGGGGTACTTTTTTTTTTTTTTTTTTTTGGTGTGAGTGTATGTACGTGTGTGTGAGTGTGTGTTTTGGGGGTTAGTAGAGGAAGAGGAAAGGAGAGGGGCCGAGTGGAAAGCCACAGAGCTCTCTTGTCTTGCCGGGTCTTTCCTCTTGAGCGTCTCCCGTTTGCCCGTCCTCCGAGGCAGCAGCAAGAGGGCTTTCTTGTCTTCGGGATTTGCCATTCTCTGGCTTTGAGGAGAGCGAATTTTTTCCCAGAGTGGACCCTGGCTAGTTCCTTCCTGCGCCTGGTGGAGTTAGGATGCCAAGCAGTTGAATCGTATCTACTTAGAAGCGGCTTTTCTCCAGCTCCGGGAAGGGAATTGAAGCCACAGCCACCGCGGAGGAGCAGCTGGGTTCTCCGAGGGGGGTGGGGGGAGGGTGGTCAAACGGCCTGAGCTGAGCTGCTGTCCTCACTCCTCTGCACTCTCACCGCCTCAACTCGCCACCTTGGTCTTTCCTAATTCATCCTTTCTCCCCTGGGAGGGTTTTCTTCGGAGCCAGCCCGGAGCCCGGCTACGTTGGGGATCTTGTGAGCGCTCGGGTTGGTGGAGCTGTCTGGTCGTGGCCCCCTCCTAGCCCGGCGGCGGTGATACGGAGGAGGGGGTAGAGGAGGTCCGTAGTAACTGCATCCACTGGTCTTGGGACTCCAACGCAGGACACCGCACCCTCCCCCGGTGAATCCGCGGGGAGGACAAGGATGTCTACGAACCCCCCGAGTCTGACTCCCTCTTCGCACTCGAGGGAAACCGGGCGGCTGCTGGCGGCGGAGCCCTAGCTAGACAAAGACAAGGAGACCCCCCCCCCCCATTCCCCACCACTAGCAAGCTCGGCCCCGGCCTCCCCATTCGCCTTCTGGAAGGACTTTTTTTTTCCTTAATTTTTCCTTGGCTCTTTGTTTCTACTTGTGCCTGCTTCCCGAGCTTGAGATATTGTTCCGAGAGTGGGGTGGGGGGGGCGGGGGAAACCACTCAATTTCCCTGCCGCCCCCTGGTCCGGCTTTCCCCGCTCCCCATCTCCCTCACCTCCCCGGGTTCAGGTCTCTGTGCTTCAACCGACTCTCGCAGAATCACGACCCCTCCCTGCGATGTATCCGCAAGGCAGACATCCGGTGAGTAATTGTAACTCGATTTATTTAATCATCTATCATTGGAGGGTAAATGAAGCTGTTTATCTTGCACCTCCATTTTGCTTGTTACCTTTATGGTTTGTGTGCGTGCGTGTGTGTGTGTGTGTGTGTGTGTGTGTGTGCGCGCTCTAACACAAAGAGGGAGGAAGGGGGGGGCGGGGGAGGGTTGGCGTATTGGCGGACCGAGATGGTTAAAGCCTTCTGGAGCGCTTTGGTACGGTTGGTGTAGAAGGATGAAGTGCTTTCACATATACACGTCTTCTGTCCCCCCCTCACCCCGACCTCTGCGTCTAAACAAACAGTGCCTTCCCCCTCCCATTCCCTCCTTGGGATGCTGCCGGTTTGGAAGTGCTCTAATGAAGGGGAGTGCTTGGGGTGCCTCTTCTCACGGTAGCTGAGAAACTTAGATCAGAGGGGAGGATCTTGTTCGGAGGGTTGTGTAGACCGGGGCCGCCGTGCGGAAGGGGTGGAGGGGGGGCGGGGGGAGAGCTCCAAGGCTAAGTAATTGAGAGAAGCAGGACAAGGGGGCAGATGGTGGCAGCTTTGCCGGTGCGGATCCCTTCGCTGATCTCTTTACTCCCCTCTCCCTATGTCTGTTTCCCCCTGACTCTAGGCTCCCCATCAACCCGGGCAGCCGGGATTTAAATTTACTGTGGCCGAGTCCTGTGATCGAATCAAAGACGAATTCCAGTTCTTACAAGCTCAGTATCACAGGTAAGGTCTGAGGTGGAGGTTGGGAGCTAGGCAGATCCCTAGGGTGCCTCAGCATACTTTTCTCCTGTTGCCTAGGGGTTCAGAAATCCCCGAGGAGAGCAGACTTGGGGTGCAATCCTCCAGTTTATCTGTTTGTCACCCGGTGGCCCCACTATCTACCCTCAATACCATCCCTTCATTCTCAGAGGGGGTAATTTTTAAAGGGGCTTCAAGGGTGAAGATTGCTCCCCCTGCTCCAGTATCAGGTTTTGATTTTAGGATCCTTCACCACTTTCTTTACCTACCTCCCCCACCCCAAGTCTCAGAGAAAGTTGACCCTTCTGGGAATATTCCAGTTTCTTTGGCAGGGTTGAGTGGAGGGGCTGGTTTCCCTCTGTTTTCTTCGTGCCTCCTGCTTGTGGGGGTAGGGGTAGGGGTGGGGGCTGGGGGGCGAATGTTGATGAGTTGTTTTTTCTAATGTCAATTGGAAATTGGATAGTGCCCTGGGTAGATAGAAAAGTGACTTTTAAAGTCCACTTTCTGAACTTTCGCATTTACTAGGACCGTTTCTGCTCTCCAACCCCACCCCCCAAGACTCTTTGGTTGTGGGTGGGTTCTGAAAATTATCTGGTTTTGGTCTTTATAGTCTCAAAGTGGAGTACGACAAGCTGGCCAACGAGAAGACCGAAATGCAGCGCCATTATGTTATGGTAAGAGCTGCTCTGCAGAATGAATGGCCCTGGAGTTGGAAGTTGGGGTGGGGGTGGGGGAACGAGGGTGGAGGGTGGACAACAGAGTTATGAAAGCAGACTGGAGCCCAAACATGGGGACAGTGTAGAAGAAAACTTGGCATGTGTTGAGGGGGAGAGGAAGAAAGGTGGGCATTTGGTAAAGAACTGAGAACAACCTTTCAGTTTCTGAGTCTTTGTCCCTCTTAGCCTTCTCACTCCAGGATTCCTGGGTTCTGTCTAGGTTGCTCAGCAGCAAAATCCCTCTGTCTACGTTAAAGGGGGATGCTGCTTTAATAAAAGAGACTTTTTAGCTCACAGTTGTTGGGGCCGGAATCAAAAAGGAGAACTGGTCCCACACAGTGACCTCTCTCCAAGTGTCTATTACTTGTTTTTGTTTTTGTTTTTGTTTTTATTTTTACTTTGACACTTCCCAGATGTTCTCCAGGGCTTGGTTGACCCAATCCTGTATTATCCAGGGTCAACCTGTCTTTGTGTTGGCTAAACTCCTAACTTTGGAATCTGTTCAGTAACTTTACTGCTCTCTTAGCCTTTTGGTAAAGCCAGGGGGTCAGGCCTTCAGGATCCAGTCTGGCCTTAAAAGCCCTTATAAACCATTCTTCTTCTCTGACCTCCTTCCCCCATTCCCCTTTTAAAGAGGAATGAGTAGCTTTTGCAGCAGATAGGCATGGCATTCTACCGCACTGACAGCTCTTTCCCCTCACCCCACCCCTACCCAAGCCAAAACAAAACTTGAGAAATCTTTTCACCAAATCTTCTTTCGGGGGCAGTAGGTGGAATGCCTCTTCTTTTTATATCCCTGAGATTATCACAGCAAGTCTAGTCTTCAGTTTGTAAGTGAGCATAGAAGACACTTAAGCTCTTCTCCCCCACACTGCTTTCCACATAAGAGGCCTTTGACACTGTGCTAAATAAATAATTCTTAGAGGAAAAGAGGTAGCAGTGTCCCAGTGTACATAATATTCTCTGTTGAACTCAAACCTTGTATCAACAGGATATGTGGCACATGTACTGCTAGAAGGGAGGGTGATCGCTATTCTCACTATATATATGTTCCATTTGGTGGTAGGAGAAACACTTGTTCATTGTTGACTTCTGGGGCCTCTGTAGGCTGAGCTATTAGTTTTGATTTAAAACTTCCTTGGCAAATCTATCGTAAGTACAGTTTGGCCAGAAACCTTCCTCATCACAAACAGCATTTGAAGAGTGAATAGATTTCTGTGTGGTTTGTTCGTCATTAATGGGAACATTTTTTGCCTTTTTTTTTTTCAATAGTACTATGAAATGTCCTATGGTCTGAACATTGAAATGCACAAACAGGTAAGTGATTGTTCCTGATCTGTGAAAAGAATACATTAAAAGAGAGAAACTTGGTTGAATTGCAGTGTCTGTGGAATTTCCTGAGTTAATCTGCAGTTTGGGAAGTGAGGTTTAGCTACCTCCCCTCAACACTCCCCCCCTCCCCTTGTTGTCTAGGAGGACGTGAAACTCAAACTACTGCTTGAAGTGGTAACCATAGGGCACCTAGTTTTCTTAAGCTGCTGCTGAGCTGAGTTTCTCTAATTCATTACAAAGAATGTTACCTAATTGTCAGAGGCATCTGATTTAACATTTAGGCCATACTTAATTGAGAAGTTGTACACAAGATGGAGGCACCCCTTAGATCTTTACATCTTGAAAGTGAAGGGGTGGCTTGCAACTTTTTATCTGCTTTTATGTAAAATTCTCTAGAGGAAGTGCTGGAGGGTTTGTTGGGGGGGGGGAAGTGATGTTCTACCTTGATAAGATAACTGGAAGGGGCCTAAAGGCCTTAGGCACAGGAGTGTAAAAATAACTGGAATGAAGCAACTGAGATTAAGCCTGATTATTTACCCTAACAATTTACTACTTTTAAAAGCACTCCTCATTAAGAATTAAAAGGAGAGACCCGATTGGAGTTGAGCTCCACTTTGGAATTCTGAAGTTAAACCAGTTTCCCTAATAGGGACATGGTTTAATGGATAGGCAGACCATCATAGATTGTGGTTGTTCTAACTACCATAGGCCTCAAACTGAACAAATACTAATATCCTTTGTCTCAATGCATATCTGTAATCTGGTACCATCCCTGGGAGGGGTGAAGGGTGAGGCCCTCGGTATATTTATGTTTGTAGGAGAGAGGCTGACTGTAATTTGGCGTCTGGAATGATTTGCATTGACTGAGCCCATACTGATAAATGAAGGCTGGTTGGTCTCTTTCACAATTAGTGTTACGAAGTTGTTGGCTAATACTGACTTTTGGCAACTCTGCTCAAGTGGACTTTCTACTAGAAATTTAACTGGCTATGAGGTTTAAATTCTGTTCTAGTTATGCAAGGTGTCACAGATAGGAAGATCACAGGGAGCCTTGGAATGTTAAAGCTAGGAGGGACCTTAGAGATCGGCTACTGTATTTGGGAAGAGATCAGGGTTCCTGTAATTCTAAGTGGTGTCTACCACATCTGGATACTTCTTTAATGATCCCCAAGTGGAAGGCCTGGTATTTTGTTGTTGTTGTTGAGTTGTTTCAGTTGTGTCCAACTCTTTGTGACCCCATTTGGGGTTTTCTTGGCAAAGGTGCTGGAATGGTTTGCCATTCCTTTCTCCAGTTCATTTTCCAGATGAGGAAGGTGAAGCAAACAGGGTGAAGTGACTTGCCCAGGGTCACACAGCCACTAAGTGTCTGAGGCCAGATTTGAACTCAGGAAGATGAGTCTTCCTGACTCCAGGCCCCACAGTCTCTATGCACTGTGCCACCTCGATGCTCCTATTCCCTGGTATAGGTGCCTATAAAATCCTAAAAGGTTTCTCAGTTAAGCAGTTTGGTAGAGACTCCTTTGGTAATCTCAACCAGAGAAGGCTGAAGCAGTGAAGTTAAGACTGTCGTGTGACATCTTAATAAACCCTTTTAGGAAGCTTCCTCTAGATGGGAAGGTTAAAACCAACGATACAGCTTCATAATGGGATTATTTGAAAAAGTTTAACATTTGTGGCAATAATGTGGGGAAACATTTGTGGGAGCGTGGTATAATGAAGAGGGCTAGACTTGATTCCATTCCAGCTCTGTTACTCCTTACGTGACTGGGCAAATTCACCTCTCTAGGCCTCATCTGCAAAATGGCCAGATTGGCCTAGATTCTGGTACAATAAAAATGCCTGAGTGTGTTGAGTGGACATTTGTATGGGGGGAGGAGGGGGAGAGGTAGTAAGGGCCCAGGCCTAAGGAAACTGAAATCCTGTCATCCTGACTCCTTGTCTCCCTTCACACCCTTTTCCCCAAGAGCTGAGTTTCTTGGGTGTGTTTAAAGAGGGTAATTGCACCCAAGTTTAAAATTTATAGCAGCAGTTATCCTAAGAGCCTTATAATTAAGGCGTTATATGTTGTTGCATGTTGAGTTTTGCTTGGTGTTGGGCTCCTGTGGCCCCAGTAAGAGTGGATAACATGGCCCTTTGGCATAAGGAATCCTGCTTTGATTGATGTAATGTAGTGTAATGTAGAGATGACTTTTGTAACAATCCCAGTTTTTTAAGTTCGGGGCCTAAGCACGCTGAGTGTCTAGAAAAAAAGTACTAGTACAAAATCTTAACACGTTTGGCATGTGATAGTTTGAGAAATGAGCCTCTCGGTTAAAAAAGCCTTCTCCAAACTCTTCTGCTTGATTTGGGAATTAATCTGTTGTACCTCTTGAATCATTGGCCTAGTGAAGTTCTCTCCCTTCCCCCCACTAGAATCTGGCTCCCGGGTTTGCCCAATGGGGGATGAGTGTTTTCTGTTTCTTCGACTTCTTGTAACTTTAACTTGCAAATCTCTGAGTTGGGTGAAATAGCCCTGTGGCAATGCAGGAACAAAGGCAGAAGAAGGTGAGGAAACCCTGTGATGATAAATGCAACCATAAGCTAATAGGGCTTGTCACTCCCCTGGCTTGTGAGAGCTCTGCAGAATAAATCCTGCCACTAATTGTAGTGTGGGTACTGGGTGCATTCAGTGGATGGTGGTTAGGCCTGAGCAAACAAGTTTATCAGCTGACCTGTTTAGCGGTTGACTGGTGTTTTATCTGCACACACAATCAAGTGACTGGAGTGCCTGAATTATTCATGCAGTGTCCTGCCCTCTAGACTTGACTGTTTGTGTGATTACATCTGCCTGGAACAAACTGGATGGGTACTTCTTTAAGTAGAGGGGTGGGAGGGGGATTGTCTTGTACATTTATATAATACATTATCTACATAGCACCTTCTGGAAGTGTCGTGGTCTCTTCAATCCACAGAGTAGATGCCCTCCCTCCCCACTACCACAACTATATTTTCTTTCAAATTGGACGTAAAAATGAATTCTCGTTCATGTTTCTATGGGAAATGCCATTTAGGTAGGAACCACAGGTTTGGCTGGATGGGCTCTAAAGTATTGACAGAGGCAGCCCAAGATGTGAGCTCAGTCCATTTTGGTTTTATAAACAAGCTTAAATGTGGATTTGATTGTCTCTTTAGTGTCTCTCTCTCTTTCTCTGTCTCTTTCCCTCTCTCATAGCCTTCAGATCACTGAGTGGTTAATAAATGGTTTCCCCCTCCTACTCTTCTGCCTCCCTCCCTAATTGTGTCAGAGTGTAAATTACAAAATCTCTAGGGCTGGGCTGGCCTTGCTGCCCTTCCTGAGATTTCAAGAGGTCATCTGGTCCAATCCCCAGCCTTGAGGCAGAATATCAAGGATGATTCAGAAGAGCCCAAGAGCTGACCGGTTCTCATCTTTCTTGTTTCCTGTTGTTTCCCAGTAGCAACCAGAAATAACAAAGGTAATTGAGGGACAAATCCTAGAAAGATGATGAACTTTTCTTACTTAAATGAACAATGGTGATGGTAATGATAATATTTTGGGTCACTGGGGAACTTTCGGCCTCGTGTTCTGTGATGTTTGGATTCTGTCAAAGGGCTGCACTTGAGGACCTAGAGGGCCACATGTGGCCTCGAGGCCACAGGTTCCCCGCCCCTGCTTCAGAATGTTGAATTTGGTCTGTTGTGTAATTCATCCTTTATTTAGTTTTGGTTTTTTTTTTTTTTTTTTTGAAGGGGTGGGGGTTTTCTATGAGGCAACCCAGGGACAGCTCTCTTGCTCTGTTGGTATTCTCATGTCAGGAAAATTGGAGGAAAGCTTTAAGCACTTTGGATGGAAGCTCCTTTCCCCACCCCTGCTTGGCAAAACTTATTTGTTGCAAGATGTAGATAAGAGAGTCTTACAGGATGGGTAGGAAAGGAAAGACTGTGATCTGCTTTTGTTGGAGGGTATGCTGTCATTGAGGACATCACAAATCCACTTCATTATTTGAGTCAGTTTTAAAGAATGAGATTTAAGGCATTTTGGTTTCAAAGCAACATTATGTGCTAAGAGGAAAATGTTCTCGTACCATAAACCACCAGACTTCAGTAAAAGGGCTTTTTAGTGAGACCGAAGAAAAAGATCGAATACTCACTCCTTGGCTGATAGGAAGCCAAGGATTTAGACTGCCACAGGCTTTTATATTAATATCTAAAGGAGCTGAGGCTATAAACTTAGTATACAGAATTGCTGAGTACCTAATTTAAAGTTTTATAACTGTGTCAGCTTGCCCTCTTTGCACTCATCATGTTTTGAATTGCTAGTTAGACTCAAATATTTGTCCAACTAATGATTAAAAATGCATAGTAATCCCCATGTGTCTCACTAGTTATCCTAGGTAGGAGATTTCCTGCAGAGTGAAGACAACTTGTAAACTTCCCTTGGGGTGGGGATGAAATGTTAGCACATCGGGTTGTATGGGGCCTAGGAGTCAGGAGACTTGGGTTCTAGTCCCGCACCTTGCCATTGGCCAGCTGTGTGACAAGTCACTTAACTGGATCTGGACGTCATTTTTCTATTATTTCAAGTGGAGTATGGTGTAGGTTGAGGTCTCTTCTACCTCCAAAATTCTGTGGTTCAATGTTTTGCTATTCAGAAGGTGGTGGAAGAGGGGATTCCCTGGTAGATAGTCTGCAAGAGCCCTATGACCCTGAATGTAGAATATATATGTTGGGGGGCAGCTAGGTGTTGCAGTGGATGGAGTACCCTCCCTGAGTTCAAATCTCATCTCAAGTCACTTCCTGGGCAAGTTACTTAACCCTTTTTTGCCTCAGTTTCCTCATCTGTAAAATGATCTGGAGAAGGGAATGACAAACCATTCCAGTATCTTTGCCAAGAAAACTCCAAAAATGAGGTCAGGAAGGGTCAGGATTGAACAACAACAAACATTATTGTACTTACTGGACTCCTGTAGAAATCCTGTGTGCAGTGT